CTTCCGAAACGGTAGGTTTTTGAAGGCTTTCGGCATGCGCGCGCGCCGACGCGCGCGTGTGCACTTCGTCCCGTTCTTTCCAAGGGATTATTGAAAACTTATGAGTTTTGATAAACGAATGCGCGCGCATAATATTTGTTGCAGAGGATGGCGGGGGGAACAGATACCAGCTTGGCTGGGAAAATATGAACTCACAGATAGGATGGACATTGGATCATCATCCTACGTGTTTTACATCGGTTCCCGGGGTGTCTGTAAGTCCGGGGGGAGGTTGGTAAAACCCTTTTCTAGGAAGGAGAATCCACGTGGTACGATTTCCCAATCGGTGTCTGCACCTATCAGGATGGGCGAAAGGGGGGGGATAGCAAAGGGGGGGGTTGAGAATCAGCTCACGTAGCTGATTTTCCCGGCGCCTCCCGGCGCCGGGAGGCGGCCATGTATGGAGGAATGGGCCCCTCGGTGGGGCCGAAACCAGCTGCATACAGCAGATTTCGTAACCCCCCATTTCCCTATCCCCCCCTTTCGTCTGGCCCGAACCTAGGGGTTCTTACTCCGTCTTTTCTGAGGACCTGGGCCTGGCTGGCGGTCTGGTGATTCCCTCTCGCACAGGCGGCCAGCAGTGAGAAGAACAACAGACGGCACGGACGGAGACCGCGGGCACGCTCGGGCCGAGACCTCCCGGCGCATGCCCTCGGGAGCAGCTCGGGAGCAGACGGCACGCCTGTGAACGGCAGGCCCGGCAGCGGCACCGCCGCGCCTCTTGCTGTTGAGTGATAGGCTGCCTGGCATCCCCGTCCCCGCCATATTGTGCACGCGCGGCGGCACAGCACTGCCAGGGCTGGTCTGAATAGGCCCCGGCGTCGGCGCGCGCAGGTTGAAATCGCGCAGGCCCACAGTCAGCGAATGTCGTCGGCTGGCCATGCGCTGAAGGAAACGTGTCGCACCATCTTAGCGAGGGCTGGTGAGCGCCTGGAGGAGCTGGTCAGGCCAAAACAAATGGTGACCAGAACCAGCAGATAATGCAAATACGCGCGAAGTTTTTTCTTTGAAGGACATGGAGAATTACCGCCAAACTCCAACGGTGCTGCCAGTGCGCTGCACGTCGGACGTGCACGCTGGGCGGACAATGTCGGCCTCCCGCGAAGAGACAGCCGCAAAATTAGGAGCTACCTGTGACACATATTGCCCGGCCTGGCGGTTGAAACGAGACGCATCCACCCCAAAACGGATTGGCGCCACCCGGGAGCACACGCTCAGCAGGTGATGAAACAGTCAGTTGCAATCCCACCAGCCCTCTGGGCGTCGGTGATTTAGGGGGGTTCCTCTTCCACCCCTCCTTCTTTCCCTTCGGGGAGGGGGTTATCACTGTTCCCTATTAATACAAACCCCCTCCCCCAGGCGACTGGGGGCCAACCAGGGTCCATGACACCCCCACCACCACCATCCCTTGTAAAAAAACAATACAAACACAAACTCTGCCTCCAAATTCGGAACATGCGCAGCCAACCCGATGCGGCCCCCCCCACACCATCCCTGTCAAAAAACAATACAGAGTACACTTGGCGGCGGCGGCGGCTGCGGCGGCTGCGGCGGCGGCGACGGCGGCGGCGGCGGCGGCGGCGGCTGCGGCGGCAGGCGGCGGCGGCGGCGGCGGCGGCGGAGTCGGCGGCGGCGGCGGCGGATTGGCCCCCAGTAGCTGCCCATCCAAAGACGACTGCTGAATATGCTGAGGCTCGGGCCAGACTCGGGTGCTACGTATGTGTTGGGAGGGCGGGTGGGAGTGAGCGAGACGGCTTGCGGGCGGGGAGGGGGTTTTGACCCCTCCCCCTACCCCCCCCCCTGGACCTGGACGGGGGGTCCGCGAGTCGTCGGAGCGTCCAAAACGGCCTCGGCGAGGAAGCCACAATCATTGGTTGTACCATGGTTTTGGCCCCATCGTGGCCTCCTGAAGGGGGGCCTAATTAATGCTCCCCTCTTGTTTGATCGATCTCCTCCAAGATGGCCCCAAGAAGCGCCCAGGGAGTCCCAAGAGGTCCCAAAGTGGCCCCAAGATGACCCCAAGAGGCCCCCAAGAGGCCCCCAGGTGGCCCCCCAAAGGATCCCAAGCGGCCACAAGAGGCCCACCCGAGGCACCCAAGACGCCGAAGAACCCCCCACGACCGCCAAGACACCCCCAAGACGTCCCAAAACGCCCAAGGGATACCCCAAGAGGCTCCGAGAAGCATCCAAGAGACCTCTGGCCCTTTTGCTGGCTCTCCTCCTCCTCCTTCCTCCTCCTATCCCTTCTCATCCTCCTCCTCCCCCTCCGCCTTCTCTCCTCCTCCCCTCCTCCTCTCCTCCTCCTCTCCCCTCCTCCTCCTCCTCCTCCTCCTCCTCCTCCTTCCTCCTCCTCCTCCTCCTCCTCCTCGTCCTCATCATCATCATCATCATCATCATCATCATCATCATCATCATCATCATCATCGTCATCATCATCATCATCACCATCATCATCATCATC